ACCTACCTTTGAGAAAAGAAAATATTACCAACTTTTTAAAAGCATGTTTCTTAGCTCTTCCAGGATAACTAATATGTCATTCAGGGTATTTGGAGAGAGGATGTTTTTTGTTTTGGTTTGGTTTTCAATTATGAATATTCATGAGATACATACAAACCTGACTGTCACCCCCCATGCCCATGATGTGAGGTCCAGATTCATACTGACAGCATACCCATTACCACAAATTGCATTTGTACCCTGTGTCCCCCACCCAATTACCCCCAACCTCCCAAGACCAACGCACTACTGTGGTCTTTCCTTTCTTCCTTTTTTCTCTCTTAGCTCGCACATTTGAGTGAGCACATGCAGTATTTATCCCTCTGTGCTTTGCTTATTTCACTCAACATAAGTTTCTCCAGGCTCATCCATGTTGTTGCAAATGAGAGTATGTTTTCAGTGGTGTCTCCAGGTGTCAGTGTTTCAATCCTTTTTCATTGGTAAGAGCGTGGATGTCTGCCTGGGTGATTCTAGGAGGAGCATTTTATAGTTAGTTGTGTGCTTGTGTGTTTCCTTGTTGGCTTCTCTTTAGGAAAGAGTATGAGCTCTTTCTGTTCTTATCCCCTGAAACCATCTATTACTTTGTGCCCGACACTGCTCTGGGCACTGGGAATAGAATAGACATAAAAATTTCTGCCCTCCTGAAGCTTATATTATCAAAGCATGTGATGTACCTGCAGAATAATTTACCTAGATGTCTGAGGTTTGTTTAGTTTTTCTTTGTTTTGGTTTGGTTTGAGGTCATAGAAGAGAATTGGAGGATCATTTCTCAAACTTTTACTTTAAAAATTCATATTGCCTCCTTATATAAAATTTCAGTAGAGCTGATGGATGAATGGATAGGTCCCAATTCCACAGACCTGTCACAGGGACAGAAATTTCCAAATGTTGCTCCTTTGTGAATGTGCTCATATTGCAATCTTATCTTTGGGGATGAGGGTGACAGGTTATATTGATGGCACATAACAAGTTAGAGTGAAATAATGAGTAAGCATAAGTAGCTGTCACCAAAGGCAGGGCAGAGCCACGGGTCTATTAGGCTTTGCAGTATTCGGAAGATAATCGGAGTGGAGAACAAGGGATGGATGTCTAGACAGCTGGGAATAGAATGAGGACATTACGTGGAGCTGGGAGCAGAGGTCAGCAGTTCAAAGATAAACCTCCTCTTTTCCCCCTCTCATCTGCATAACCTTCAGACCTTATCTAGCATATAGTTCCCAGTACTTCTTCAAACTCGAGTTGTTATAAACTCTCATCAGAATAGGACATAGGGGGAAGGAAGGAGATCAGAAGTACTGGTTAAACATACAAGTGTTCTCTTTACACCTTAAATATTTGGAGGATTGAACAAAATTGATTGCATAATATCAAAATGGAACCACAGTATGTAGAAATTATTGTTCACAGCAATTCTCTTGCAAATAGTCATCGAGTCTTATGATAATCTATATACATTACTTTCATTTCATTTTTGCAAGTTTTGCATAAGGAATAAATAAATCTGTTTACTCATGTTCAGTTATTTGTGATCTTCATATCCTGAGTTTAACCTTAACCTTAGTAAGAATGTCTAAAATGATCATATAAATACTATATTAAGCACTGTCTTCCTCAGTGAAACCCAATAAATGTGTTTACCAACCCAACCTATTTGTTTCCAAAATTTAGTTTCTACCTTTCTCTTGCAAGTTTCTCTTCTGAGTTAATGTCACAAATTAATCTGTGTGCATAGTTGCACACACAGGTGTTCACAATCAAGGGGAGCTCCCAGCCCCCAGGATTGCTTCATGACAGGATGTGATTTATTCTGACCCCTGAACTCCGTGCTGGTGTTCTCTCCTGTTGCAGGGACTGCGACCACTGAGCTGTGAGTACAAGATGGAAAATGTAACCAGGATGGTGGTGTGTGACCTTGGTAACCCTATGGTGGCTGGAACAAATGTAAGAGAAAACCAGAAGTACTTAACTGATTTCCGTCTAATTGAATTTTACAGAGCACTAACGGAAAGCTCCCCAATTACCACTCAGCGGTTAGAACACAGCAGCTAAAACAAATTAGGCAAGAAATGACCAAGGTGGTGGGATTTAGCATTATTAGCCTACACAGAGTGAATATCTCGGGTTAAAAACACAAAAAGCTGTGTACATTTATATGCTTTCTCTTTAGACATTACTCTTAGGTGTCTTTCAGTTGCAACAAATCTATAAAGACTTTTTTACTACAGATTTTTTTCTTTGAATATTTTTTCTTTGAGTTTTACTACAGATTTTTTTCCCTTGAATTAAAAAAGAAACAATGTAAGTAAAAGACTTTAAAATGACAAATATGCCAACTATCCTGATTTGATCATCAAATACTGTACACAAATACAGCCAACTCTGTACCCCACAAATTACGTAATCAGTTATGTTCCAATTTTAAAAAACTAATTAAAACAAAGATTTTTAGCAAAGACAATTAAATTAACTTTTATTCCCAATATACTTCCTATATGAATATCATTCACAGTATTTTTATATTTAAAATATTAGCATAATGCACTTTTTAAACCAGCTTTACCAGGTCTATATTTTCCATTATCTTACACAAAGAATAATACAGACAATTGTTTGTATCAGAAAAAAGGAGGTTAGTAATGATCTCCAGCATGCTTGTGAAAGAATATGAGTTGTTAGTATTTCTTCTCCTCCTTTCTTTTTTTTTTTTTTTTTTTTCCTGCTTCTTTTTGTTTCCAGGTTTAGAAAATTCCCATTCAGGATTACTTGTAGATAATAAATGTATTTTATGTAGTTATAGTTTAAGTATACACATAGTTATGTCTCATAAAAAATTTCCCAGTGGCAAGAATTATTTTATAAAATCAGAAATCAAAAACAAATTCTGAAATCTGAAAATATTTTATGATTAAATCCTACATAAATTGAACACTCATATTCCTGTACTTAAAATTAAATGTGATTATCAATAAAATGGCCTGTTTGAAAAAAATTTTCTGAAAAGTTACAATTGTGTAGGTTTGTATTAGAACAACTTCCGAAAGTGTATTCCAAAGAGTGCTAGTCCCTGAGATAAGCCCTTAGAAGGGAGTTCTGTAGTCACTGGGGAGCATCATATCATTCCCTGGGAGATTCAGGTACACATTTGCATTTAAAGGTACTGAGATGTCCTCCAGTAAATGTCTTTTAGCCCAGTGTTTTACACATTTACTTGAGCATTTGAAACTTTTTCTCAAGCAATACCTATTCTCAATTTATACTTTAGGATATTATGCTAGGCTAATATTTTTGCACTTTTACACTGTAATATTGCATTGATCTTGGGTATTTTTTAAAAATGTGCCAAACTCACTTCTTGGGTCAAATGAAAGGTAAATTCTTATACCTGAATATTATTGGTCACCATGAACTGATGTCCTCTGTGTTATAAACCCATCGCTAGGATGGGCGGGAGGACACTTTTTAATGTTATTTTTTTGAATTATCAAAACAACTGTATGAGTCAAGTATTTTCTCTTTTTATGAATAAAGAAACTGAGGCTCAGAGAAGTCAAATGAATTGCCCACAGACACCTAGATGATGAAGGACAGGACCAGGATTCAAACCAGACCTGACCACAAACCCCATGTTCTATCCAGTCTACAAAATTGCAAAAAATACTTGGATAAAAACTGATAAATAACAGATGAGGCTTTCAAATGAAGGTGCTAAAGATAGAATGGGATATCCAAGCTGAGATATTGGAACATTTTCTAGTATAATCCTTTTATCTAGAAGCTAATAAACCCTTTTGCTAGTTTTCAAGAAAAGATCCAACTACTAATTTTATATGAAGAAGTTTACCTAAGGCCAAAGAGAAAGGAATTGACATGGTAGCAACAGTGGTAGTATCTGTAGGTGACAGGTCCCTTATTCCTTTTTCAGAATGAATGTGTTAAAGCAAGACCAGAGATCATCTAAGATCATCAATAACTAAGGATTATCTTGGAACAAAAACTGGCCACCAGTGTCATTCAAACTAGAGGGTAAAAATGGCAGTGTGGTCTTAATAACAAATGTGTTTATGTAAAAGGATGTCAATCCATTTTACTAGCAAATAATCTTTAGAAGTCAGGGAAGTAAATTGTTTATACTCATTTATCTCTGAGGTCTATAGTAGAAGAAACCTAATAGCTTTCTTATCTCAGCCTTCAATGCCCTTAAACACATCAAATTTTATTTCATTCTGTTTTGTTATAAAACACTTTATTTATTTACTTCTTCATTCTGTACTTTAAGAAAGAATACTCTTAGTGAATTGTAGTAGATTTCCAAATGGAAAAGCAGTCCTAAATATTAAGGAAAAGGCAGTATAAGCCATCAGGAGTATTTATTCTAACTGCAATATTTTTAGAAAATAGTTCTCGAGTGACTTTTCCTTTTAACAAAATATTCAAGGTATTATTCAGAAATTTTGCTTCTGGTTTTTAAATAGTGAAGTCATTTTCTTATAGTAGCTATAGTAATATAAAATATTTATATGCTAATGAAATTCATAATAACTTGCAAATTTTCTCAAGCAGGAAAATGAAAAAATGGTGGGTCAACAAAGGGTCTTTAGAATCAATGCCCAGAGATTTGCTGTTTGGTACTAGTAATGTACACATGTTCCTCTTACCAGTATGAAATTGTCATGATGTTATTGTGTCTTTATTCCATGCTAAATTGTTCTATAATGAAGACCAACATTGGGCAGCCTCCGTCACAATATAGTAAGATTCCCATCACTGGAAGTGTGCAAACCAGGACACACTCTCGTCAATCTCTCATTGCATCCTTTATCTATGCCTGGTACTAAGCTAGAGTCTGACAACATAAAGATGAAAATGCACAATCCCCATTCAATAAGAAAATCAAAATGAGCAATACCATAGGTTGGAGTAATAAAGAGGGAGAAAACTTTCCTGCCTGTCCCAGCCCGTGGGATCGGAGGATGTGTTGCAGGAGGTATCTCTTGTCCTGAGCTCTGAAGCATGAGTGGGAGTTCTTCAAGTAAAAAGAAAAAAAAAGGCAAGAAAAAGCTAAATGGCTTTCAAGCAAGATAGAAGATTGTGTGCAGAGAGGTCTGATAGAAAATTGCACAGTTTGAATTTTAAAGGAGTTCATCATTGCTGGGGCATAAGGGTGCACATGCTTTATGATTAAGACACATCTGGGTTTAAATGCCAGCTTTGCCATTTATCAGCTGTGACACCTTGAGCAATCACATTGAAATGGGAAAATACCTACTTGTTGGAATGTTTGGAGCAGTATACACAACAGTATGACACAGGTAAAGCCACTGATATGGGGCTCACAGCACACTCAGTAAGGGCCAGTGAAATGACGATGATTTGTGAGAAAAGTGATAATTTGTTATTAGTTCATATTATTACTGATTCATATTAATACAAGTTTTATTACTGGTTTGATTCTCACCCTGTAGTGATTGTAGGTCTAAATCTGGAGTCAGCTTGCAGGGATTTAAATTCTGACTACTCTTATTTCCTCTGCATCTGGAGTAAGGTGCTTAACTTCTCTAATCCTCAGATTGCTAAAATATCAACAATAACATCAACCAACTCAGAGTGGTTGCCATGATAACATGAGATAATGTGTGGAAGGCATAGTAGAGTACTTGGAAGAAAGAGTAATATAATTTCATATATGTGGTAGCTATTATTTTTACTTCCTTATTTACATTATCATTGGATTTATTTTTCTCCATGTTTTTACCTATTTTCAAACCAAAAACAAAAAAAAGGAGCAGTTTTAAAATTTTTGAAAATAAAAAAGGGAAGAAAAAATAATCTGTACAACCATTACCTTACCCCAACTGTAACATATTATTCTGGAATATTTTCTTAGAGTACATCCCCACTCCTGTACACTAACTTTTCCATTTATACACTTTTAAAACCGTAGCTGAAACACATTGCACATAGAACTTATAACCTTTATTTGTAGCGTTCATTTGATCATTATTTCATTCGAAGCATTTTCCACATTGTTACATTGCCTTCACAGCTGTAATTTCAATGACTACATGAAGGTCCATCCAAAGAAAGCATCATAGTTTTCAAAATCAGCCTTCTCTCATGTATTTGGGTTGTTTTTAATTTAGCACATCAGGAAGGTGGCAGGAAAAGAGGCGGTTCAGGATTAAATGGAGAGAGGAAACCAAAATGTATTGTGACCTGAGTCTTCTGGGTCCTGGTCTCAATGTGTCACTTCCTCTTGGCTCTCAGCCACCCAGGGTAGAAGAAGAAAAAAGGACAGTGACAGCAATCCAGGGTGGGGATTTGCAGGGATGACTTATGCTGCATATAAGGTCCATCCCATGTAATAACTTTCTGTCCTGTGTGGTTTTTCTTTCCCCCAGTATTCTCTGGGCCTCCGATTTGCAGTTCCACGTCTTGAGAAAACAAACATGAGCATTAACTTCGATCTCCAAATCAGAAGGTTAGACCTTTAAATGCCTATTTTATTGACTGCACTCAATAGTAAAGAGATCCCGAGTGAAATGAATGCCAGTAGTCAAGCTCCTTCACTTACAAAGCTCTTCTGAAATAGAACCCAGACTTTCACAGCCCATTTGTCCTTTGTTTTTCTCAATTATTTTAGTTTTTTCAATATTTGGGGTTTTGAAAAAGAGATTGCGTCATGTAGGCCTAGTTATGAAACAGTGAAATTTTGTCCTGGGACCTTCCCACTTTGCTTCACTTTTTTAATCTCATTCTGAGGCACCTACCTTCTCCTACCCGCACCTGATAGTTTATTTGTGAGCACCATGGAAGGATGCAGGTGGGATATTATTGTATTTTGAGGGTGGGGTCTTCTCTGGCAACCATAAGCTGAGCCATGTAGGTAGCTGCCTCCCTTTTTTAAAGCTGATCCCATTCAAGGATTCAGCTGTGACTTTATCTTCTCACTGTCTATTCTGTTTGCTCTTTCCTAGCAGAAAATAATATTTCGTGAGTGGGAAAACCTGCAGAGAGTAGTGTGATATGCGGGCCAGGGATTCCTAGCTGTGGACTTCAGCCCCCTAGCTGGTAATGGAATCCATATAATGGTTCTAAACCCGCATTGAAAGGAAAGGAAATTGAATGGAATTATATATAATATATTAATACTGTTCATGAAATGTTCCTTTCAAATAAGTGTAAGTGGGTGTAGCAAGATGCCCTGTGAGATATATTTCTGTGGTCTGCAGTTTTAAAAGTTTGAAAAACACTGATACAGACAGCACACGCACACCTTCCATAGCTATTTATACCTCGCGAGCCTGTTGAACCCTTGATCTAACTATAAAAATGACTATTAAGTCAGTATCTACAATTTGGTTCTCAAATGTTAGTGCACAGTGTGGCTGATCTCTGAATTTACCTTAATATCTTGCAAAAAGAAGTGTCATTAGAGTGTGATAACTTTTAGAACACTTACTCTGTGCAACTGATTACATTTTAATAGCTACTTCAGTACAAGTTTAGGATTTTTAAAAAATATATAAACTCCATAATAATGTAAGCAGATTTTCAACTCTGCAGTCTGTGTCACAACCACTCCCCCCAAACTTTTTGATATATTTCTAGGGAGGAAGGTTTTCTAAGTTACGTGAGGTGTTCTTTTCTGACCTTCATTCTTTCTTGAATTTAACTTAGATATTTTCTGCTGAATCTTAGAAAATTGTTTTATTTTAGTTAAATTGGTGATGGGATGCAAATGCAATTAATTCTTCTGTAATATCCCTTTATTTTACCAAAAGCTTATTAAATCACTTCTTTGTACCTACATGAATATATATTTCCCAAAAGGTTTAGGGGTTCTGAAGTATTTTCATTTTGGAAATCTTCCGTTGATATTTCTGAGTTTTCAGGAGAGAGAAAAAAAAAAGAACACACATAATGAAGAACCATCATAACTCCAGACAGTAGCTTGAAGTTTCTATTTCTCTCCATCATTGTCTGTGTCATTGATTCTGCAGTGGCATGAAGCTTTGTGTCACTTGGGGAAAGATACATCTCTCATAAAGTACACAGTCCTTATTTAGAAAGAAAGTCTGGTACAAAGGTGCAAATTCATTGATGTTTTCTCCTTCTTCTTGATTGTGGTTACAAAGAAAATAATGGACACAACCAGTAGTTCATTCAAGAAGCAGAAGACACTAGATAATGTTCTAAATGCCCTCTCCGTATCCATTTTGTAGATGATCATTAAAATAATGAATTCAGTAACAAAGTGCTGAATTTGATGGAAAATATAAATGACCACATTTTTAACACCCCCTTTCATCTAAAAAACATAGATCATCATTATATTCCATTTCTATTCATGTCTATTTTATTTACATTTATCTGAATGCTTTGTTGGCAGACTCCAAAGATGTAAATAAATATTTAGGTGGGTGGTTTTGCATTCTGTTTAAATGTGTTTAAGCCAAAAATAAATTAGACTAAATGCTCTGAAGTCTAAACTCTTACAGCCATATATTGACCACCATTACCTGCATTTAATACCCTTTTCCACAAATAGAAGCCAGAAAAGAAATGGGCTTTATTAATTAATAAACTTAAAATATTTCCTGTTGCCAGATACTTGCATTAAATGGTCTGTCCATGCTCTTGTTCTAAATGACTTAAACCTTTTCTTGCCTATGTAGCGCAGGTCTCAGATTGCAATTCCCAAGTACAAACAGGTCTTTGTGATCATCCTTGAAGTTGCCTCCTTGGTAATGATGAAATGAACACTATATTGTCTCTGCTGACATTCCAAAGATCAAAGAACACACAGAAGGACTGTTAGAAAATAGAAAATAGGGAACAATAAGGAAAAAAAATAGCATCAGAGCAATAAAGTGAAAAACATGTTTTTCCTTTGTGCACAACATACAGTGTAGTCATATAGAGGAAATTCATCATTGCTTGTGTAGAACCAGCACCAACAGTGATGGATTGCTTGTTTGGATGTAGCAGTGGTATTAGTGAAGGGGGTTTCCTTCCAGGAAAGAGGTCAAGGAAGCATCTAAGTTATATATCAAGCCTGGTTCCTTTCTTACCAGGAGATTTTGTTGACACCACTGGTATGCGGTAGCAAGTGTCATAGCAAGTCTGTGTGACAGAGGATGATTTCGATTAGTGAACCAGAACGTCTGGACTCTGAGTCTCTCATCGCTCTAATGCTTTTCAAAAATTCTATGAAAATCCTAAAAGCTTCATATTAGACTCATGTCCAAGAATGATTGCAATGTTTGACATCTATTTACACTTTAAGGGTGCTATGAATAATGAAAATTGTGTTTAAACCAAACAAAATATAATAGAATTGGGAACAAAATACAATAGAATTATGCAATAACTTAAATGAACTTTTTTTGCATAATTTTAATTTCCACTGCTACAAAGCAGTAGTGAACTAGAAATAGAACAACAAAGTCTGATTAATCTGTGAAACAGCTACATTTAAATTTCCAAACTAAAGAGTTACCCATAATATATTTGGAACCATAGAGTAGCAAGTAAAATTACTTAATGACTTCCTAGTGATTAGTATTCAGAATCCTGCCTTTAAAAAAAATAAACAAATTTTTAGTTGACTGATCCACCTCAGATTTGATAATAATAAAATGGCCTGGAATCCGGGGTTCAAACTCGGATGGACAAATCCCTCTAGGCTCAATCAGAAGCTTAGCAGTAATATCCTATTACAGGAAATAAGTCTGACATTTGCCTATTTATATCTTAACGTGTGTTTGCAGTTTGTTTCCTTATCAGTATATACAATCAATGAGGACTTTTCAAAAGCATTGTGGGATCTGTCTCCTGCTTTGAAAGCAGAATTTTATCATATCCTTCCCAGCTCCCACAGTTGGAAAGCTTCAAAAGCTACTCAGAACCTCCTCCATTTACCATCAACACAGTGTTAAAGCTTGTCCATGAAATCTGAGCGAATTTGATGATGAAAAAACATAAGACTCTCTCTTCTTAATGAGACTTGAATATAAACATGACCTGTTAGTGGTGATGTGGCCATGTCTCAGTTTGCTAAAAGCTGCCTAATCCTTTGGGTGATTTCTGTGAAAGCACAGTAGGATGATACAACGGAGCTGCATCCAGAGCTCAGTTCCTTATTGAACCTCTGTGAGGCATGTTCTTTTCCTTACAGCATGGACCACTTAACACATTCATTTTTTCAACGTTACATTTCATATCTAATTATATTTGCTTGGGAGAAAAAAATAGCAAACAAAAATAATTTTGCTGCAGTTCAAAGAAATATTGAAACACATTACCTTCTGTCCTGAGACCCTGGATGCATTTCCCAAACATCCGTGTCATCTCCTAATTACCTACTGATGAACTGCCCAACTACCTTGGGTCTTGCTTCTTCTCACTGTGGACCATGCTTCTAATTCATTCTCCACCCCTCATCCTAGTCAGCCAGTGAGTATGCAGTGAACATTAGCTTATTTTAATACTATCTTGAGAAATAACTGTGAGGAAGATAAAATTGCTGCCGAAACAATATATGGTATCATGCATTCCAGAACTAAATGCAAATGCTTTTTTGATTATATGCTGCTCTGGATTATTCATACCAGTTCTCCTCTTTATTAGCATGGAAAATCAGGAGTTGCCTGTGCTGTCATTTCCTATTTGATGGGCAATGAACATGATACACAGAGATGTTAAGGAATTTGTCCAAGGTAGAAGCCAGAAAATGAACTCAGTTCAATGCCTTTTTGGTTTAGCCATTGAAAGAAAAAAGTGTTAGCTTCTCTATGTATCTATTGTATTTCCAGGTAAAGTGTCTCCTTATGGAAAGTTGTTAATTACTGTTGATCATAAAGAATCTTAGTATTTCCCTGTACAAATGGTTATGATTTTGCAGAATGAATATACCATTGTTTGCTGAATGATCCAGTTAGTATTGTGGGTTGCTCTTGTGATAGTACAGAATGTTTTTCATGATCATGTATTGTGGTAAATTGTCTGAGAAAATATATTTAAATCATATGTCACTGTGTTTTAGTTCCAACAAGGACAATCCAGACAGCAATTTTGTGAGTTTGCAAATCAACATCACTGCGGTAGCTCAAGTAGAAATAAGAGGGTAAGTAATAAAAAAGACATTGTAGTAGTATAATAACAGCTTTCTGTTTTAAAGAGTTATGATAAAATAACGATGAAAATTATATGGAATTTTCCTAATGCATTAGAAATTACAGTTTCTTTGGTTATCAATTTTCATTCCTTTTTACTCATCATTAGCCTTGGAAAGTAGAGTAAACCCTATATAATAATTAACTCTAAGTATGTCAAAACAAGAGATCACTTTATTTCCTAAGCTGACAGCTCAGTAATCAAATTATAAAAGCCAGTACAGTAGATAAGAAGCCAGATAAAATAGACAGCCATGTGACTGCCTAAAAAACCCCACTTCTTCAGTAATTATTTCAACATAATAACAATTTAGCCTCACCATGTCACACCTTAACTTTAATAAATGGCTAACTGTTAGATGCAAGGACGATGGGATCCACGTTGTATATCTTTTTCCTTTGGTCCTATTCTTTGAGGAAGATGCCAATAAGCCATTCATTGAAACAGGAGGGAAGTGGTCAAGGCTTGGAATGGCTCCCAGATGGAAAATCCATGCCTGGGGAAAAAGAAATCAGAAATGGACTGTATGTTGTTCTTATCTTGCACATGTGTGGACTTCATTGATTTTGCTATTATAATTCTGGTTTCTTCAGAACAATCAAGGAGTTGGCTAAAAATGTCAACTGGTATTTTGGACCAAATTGTCACTGGGGTTCCAGAATCCTGGTTCTTTTCCTTTTCCACAGGTCCTGAGTGGTTCACACTCCTCTGATGACAACTGTGGGTTTCAGCATGCAGAGCCAGTCACCAGGGGCCCTCCTATACTGCTCCCTGGGCTGCTCTCATTGGCCCTGCCCTTCTGTCCTGGTGCCACTGAAGTGCCCCATAGTGTATTAGAGAATAAAAATAATGCCTAACATTGATTGATGCTTCCTAGGTGCTGTTAGGATGTTAGCACACCCTAACATGTGCTAGTAGCTTCATTGTACAAGTGAGGGAATTGTAGCCCAAGGAGTTGAAGGTTACATAGTCAGACAACAGGGATCTAGGATGTGAATGCAGGCAACCTGTCTCCAGAGCTCATGCTCAGAAATGATTCATGCTATCTTGATCCTATGAGGTAGAGGTTTTTGAACTTTATCTATATAAAGTGTTATTTTATGTATGCTTCTGTGATTTTTTTTTCAAACAAATATTTTTTTTGTTTTTGCGATATACCCGTTGTAGTGCATGTGCCTGTAGCTGATTCATTTTAATTGTATCAAAGTATTACATTGTAAAAATATATCATAATTTATTTATCCATTCTTCTCTTGATGAAAATTTGGGGCTCTTCTTTTTTTCCTCTTTACAAACTTTTTTGTTTTCTGGAAATGTCAGGGCATATGCAGGGGATATGCTTAGAAGTGGAATTTCAGGATCAGAGAGCATACACTATTTAACTTTACTAAAGAATACCAAACTCTTTTTCAAAATAGTTATACCAGTTACACTTTTCACCACCCCCAAGCCCTGGCAACCTTGACTTATTTTTTGTTACTATAGTTTTGTCTTCCCCAGAATGTCACATATGTGGACTCGTTCAGAAATAGACTGGCTTCTTCCACTCGGCATAATGCATTTGAGAAACATCCATGTTCCTGCATGTATCAGTACTCTGTTTCTTTTGATTCCTTGACTTATTTTTTGTTACTATAGTTTTGTCTTCCCCAGAATGTCACATATGTGGACTCGTTCAGAAATAGACTGGCTTCTTCCACTCAGCATAATGCATTTGAGAAACATCCATGTTCCTGCATGTATCAGTACTCTGTTTCTTTTGATTGCTGAGAAGTATTCCATTGTACGGGTGTCCAATGAACCGTCTGTCTGTTCACCAGTTGGTGAACATTGAGGTTGTCTCTTCTTTGGAGCTAAGACTAAAGCTGCTGTAAGCATTGACAGATGGAGTTACTGAGCTGTATGGCAAGTCCATGTTTATAAGAAACAGCTGAACTGTTTTCCAGAAAGGCTATAACATTTCCATTTTGCATTTCCACTAACAATGTATGAGAATTCCAGTTGTGCCTCATCCTTGCCAGAAAGTCCCTTAGAATTTAGTCATTCTAGTAAGTGTATAGTGTGCATCGCTGAGTTTTTAACTTTCATTCACTTAATGACTAGTTATGTTGAGCATCTTTTCAGTGTCTGTTTGCCATCAGTATCTCTTTTTTGGTGAAGTATCTCTTCAGATCTTTTACCCATTTACTACTGGGTTGTTCGTCTTCTTTTATCAGGTTGCAAAAGTTCTTCATATATCCTAGATACAAAATCATTTATCAGATATGTGTCCTGCACATATTTTCTCCCAGACTATGGTTGGGCTTTATATTTTCTTAATGGTGTTGTTCGAAGAGCAAAAGTTTAAAATTTTGATGAAATTCAATTAATTAATTTTTTATAGTTGTGCTTTCTTTGTGTTCTGTCTGTGAAATATTTTCCTTTCCAGGGTCACAAAGATCTTCCTCTGTGTTTTTTTTTTCCAGAATATTTATAATTTTAGGTTTTGCATTGAGGTTTATGAGTAATTATAAAATAATTTTTGTATCTGGTATGAGGTAAGAGACAAGGTTCATTTTTGCAAGATGAATATCCAGTTGTTCCTGTGTCATTTGTTGAAAAAATCATTCTCCATTGAATTACTTTGGCAACTTTGTTGAAAATCAGTTATTCATATTTGAGGGTCTATTTCTGGTTTTCCTATTTTGTTCTATTGATCTACATATATAATATGTCTTGAATTGCAGGAGTGTATCCTGTGATTTGGGGAAAGTCACTTATAACTTCTACTAGCTTTTTTGTTTGTTGATTTTCTAGGATTTTCTACAAAATTATCATATTGTCTGTGAATTAAAGAGTTTTCCTTCTTTCCAATCTGCTTGTGCAAAAGATTAGCCAACTACAAAGTTAGAAGAAACATCCCCCCACAAGAGACCACCTCACTTTTGACACCAACTACAGATTCAGGTGGTTCCCAAAACTCAGACTCAAAAATCACTAGAAGGACTCACAGAACTCATTGAAAGCTATCATATTCACAGTTACAGTTTATTACAGGGAAAGGATACAGATTAAAATCTGCCCGGGGAAGAACATAAGGTGGAATCAGGGGAAGGACCAAACACAGGGCTTTTGTTATCCTCTCCTATGGAGTTAGGACATGTTACCTTCCTGGTATTAATATGTGGCAGTGTGCATGAAGTATCACCAACCAGGGAAGCTCACCCAAGCCTCAGTGTTCAGAGTTTTTATTGGGGCTTGATGACATAGGCATGCCTGGATTGCTTGCCTATATGATCAGTCTAAGTCTCCAAGTTGACTGATAGGATGTAACCAAAGCTCCCTCCCTAAGTCACATTGTTGGTCTTTCCAGGGTGGACAACCCCCAAGCCTGAATCATATTGTTGTAAACCCACTGTGACCAAGGCCCCAGGCAATCAAAGACATTCCTGTGAAGCATAAAATTCCAAGAGCTTAGAGATTACCCCCAGAAGCTGAGGGCAAGGGTCAGACCTCTTCTTGTGCAAGGTTAAATAGTCTGCTAGGTAGTTATGCCTTTTATTTATTTTTCTTCCCCTACTCATAGAGTAGAACCAGCAGTGCAAGATTAAACAGAAGTGGTGAAAGACATCCTTGCTTTCTTCTCAGTCTTGCAGCAAAATCATTCAGTCTTTTACCATTAAATATGATGTTAGATGCCAGGTTTTTGTAGATGCCCTTTATCAAGTTGAGGATGTTTCCTTTTATTTCTAGTTTTCTTAAGAATTTTTAACATGAACATGTGTTCAATTTTGTCAAATGCTTTTCCTGTGTCTATGAAGGTGGTTAAATGGTTTTCTCATTTTGTGTCCACGAAAGCGGTGAATTGATAAATTTTTGGTTTTGAATTTTACACCAAACTTGCATTCTGGAGAAGAAGCACATTTCATGATGATGATTATCCTTTTCATATATTGTGGAATTCAATTTGCTAAAATTTTGTTAATGAATTTTGCATCTATGTTCATAAGAAGTATTAATTTGTAGTTTTCTTTTCTTACAATATCTTTTTCTGGTTTGAGTATCAGGGGAATAGGGGAATGCTACTTCCATAAAATGAGTTGGAAATGTTCCTTCATTTGCTCTACTTTCTGGGAGATTTTGTGTAGAATTGCTATTATTTCTTCCTTAAATACAAGGGATTTTCAAAAAGTTCATGGAAAGATTCTCATTACCTTTTTAATTCTATTTGTCCATGGATTTTTTGAAGTAACTTTTTGCTTGGTAAATTTCACCAGTGAAGCCGTCTGAGTCTGGAGGTTCGAATTTTTTATAGGAAGGATTTTAGTAATTCAATTTCATTCTAATATATATAAAGCTATTCATATTATCTATTTCTAATGGGCTTTGATAGTTTTTTGTTCAAGGAATTTGTCTATTTCATCTAAATTGTTACATATATTGGCATAAAGTTGTTCATAACATTCTCTCATTTTCTTTTTATTGTCGGTAGGAATTCTAATAATTTCCTCTCCATCATACCTGATATTGGCAGATTGTATCTTCTTTTTCTAGTTCAGTGATCTTTTCAAAGAACCAGTTTTGGGTTTTATTAATTTCTTTTTCTTTTTCTTTCTTTCTTTTTTTTCGTTTTTGTTTTTGTTTTCTATTCCATTGGTTTTGGATTTTTCTGTTATATCCTTCCTTCTGCTTACTTTGGATTTGATTTTCTTTTTTTCTCCCTCTGTGTAGAAATTCTATCATTGACTGGAGACCTATCTTCTTTTCTTACATAAGCATTAGTGCTATAAATTTCCCTGCAAGAATTGCTTAACCAGCATATGAAAATGTTGATATCTTGAGTTTTCATTATAACTCAGTTCAAAATATTTTCTAATTTCCCTTGTGATTTCTTTTTTAAGTCATGAGTTGACTCATGGGAAAGAAATTACTTGTTTGATTTACAGATATTTGGAGCTAAGATAGATGTTTTATTTTTGTTGATTTCTAATTTTATTCCTCATCTCCCTCTTAATGAGAAAAACACTACTTTAAAACTCTTTGAAGAGAAGAAAACAGAAGAATTATTTTTTACTATTGTTTTTACCTTTTTAAAATTGACAACTATTGTATATGAACTTTTTTCTCATTCTTTAAGTGTAGCTTATCTTAGTTTTGCTAACCCAGAATAAGCTTAAACTGTTTATTAATTTTAAAATAAATTTTTTAAAAATTGGAAATGTTTTTATTCAGTAAGACATAATTCAATCCAGAGTAGCTAAGGGCTTAATATAACTGTATTCTAACATATTCATGCTATGACATTAATATTTTCAAATGTGTTTTTGCCATCACTTACAGTAAAAAAGAAGAGAATTTCTATTTGTTTTTGCCAGTAATCAAAACAGGTAATTAAAATTAGGTTTCTCATGTGGATGCAATTATTTTAATTGCTAGGTTAATATCCAACAATTGACCACAGTTTATTCTCTAAGACAGTGTTAAAGTTCTTTTTAACTATTTTACTTAATAAAACCCTTTCCTCTGAATGTGCAGCAAAAATATCAGTTTCAATATTTAATTCTTCAAGGAACAAACAGCCACTGTGTTGAAAATCTTCTGTGTTCAGTCTTCAGGAAAATCTAATTTTCTTCTTGGTCAGTGGTGTTTATTCCAATGTATTTTATCATGCACAATCTTAAAGTTTTTTCTTTAACTCTTGATTTTGTAATTTAAAAAATAAACTAAAATGGATATATTTCTTTGAGTGGGAAAAAAATGTTGAGAAGTGTCCCATTTGTTTCAAAGCTAGATAATGTCAACATTGTCTTTAAGCAGATTTACATGCCATTTGTTGGTACAAATAATCAATTTTGCTTAAGTCTGTATGAAGTAAATTTGGCCACAAGAGACAGAACCACATTTACTGAGATCAGGAAGAGTCATAAAATTACAGCCTTTGTAAAATAATCAGGATTCAATGGGTTTGTGTTAAGAGACTACAACCATGAATAACCAAGTTCTGCATAGGATACTGTCCACAGCAGGTAGAGTCAGCATTTTTCCATGGTAGTCTTTGCTATTTGGGATTATAGGGTTTACAAACAAAGTTATGAAAATAGAGTTCACACCATACTACCAAATCCTCAAATTTGAGCTTCCTGATAGTATATAGACTTCAACTTTTTAAAAACCTAATTCCTTTATTCCAGAAAAAAAACCCTTATTATAGAAAAATGAAAAATTAAGTCTACACAAAAACTTGTACATAAATGTTTAAAGCAGCTTTGTTTGTAATAACCCAGAACTGCAAATAACCTAAATATTCTTCAGTGGGTGAATGGTTAAACAAACTGTAGTATACTCATACCATAGAATGTCACCCAACAATAAAAATCAGTAAACTACTGACAGGTGGAACAATCTGAATGGATCTCCAGAGAATTATGTGGAGTGCCCTTATTATAGAAAAATGAAAAATTAAGTCTACACAAAAACTTGTACATAAATGTTTAAAGCAGCTTTGTTTATAATAACTCAGAACTGCAAATAACCTAAATATTCTTCAGTGGGTGAATGGTTAAACAAACTGTAGTATACTCATACCATAGAGTGTCACCCAACAATAAGAATCAGTAAACTACTGACAGGTGGAACAATCTGAATGGATCTCCAGAGAATTATGTGGAGTGAAAAAAGGCCAACCCCAAAAGATTGCATACTGTATGATTTTATTTGTGTGACATTTTTGAAATGACAGAATTATAGAAATGGAGAACAGATTAATGATTGCCAATAAATAAGGAGGGGATAAAGGCAGAGGGAAGTGAATGTATCTGTATGAGGGGATCTTCGTGGTGGTAGAAATGTTCTGTTTCTTCACCATATCAATGCAAATACTCTGGTTGTGATATCATATGCAATATCACTTCTTGGTTTTGCAAGTTGTTACCTTTGGAGGAAACTGGCTAAAGGGCACATGGGATCTCTCTATATTACAAATGCATATGAATCTAAAATTATCTCCAAATAAAGTTTAATTTTAAAAAACCTAATTTCTTGCTTTCTCCCAAATCCCTTCTTAATGTCCATTGTTATCATTGACACTACCCCAATCTTCTCATTACCTGAGGGACTCGGTGGAATAATGCTCTATCCTCTATCTTAGGCTATTCAGTAAGGCTTGTTAGATCACTGCACTTGCTATTCATCCTGGCAAATTAGTTTATTATGTTCTTTCTTCCTTATTTCCTTCTTTCTAAATAAATCCACTTTGAAAACAATAAGCGGTGTTTCACTGATTTAGTTGGGATCTTTAGAGATCCATTCTTTGTTGTGGTTTCCCAGATTTGAATCAGTCTTCAACGGGTAAATAACTCTGAGCCACACTTTTTCAATGATTTTGCCATGCACCGAGATTATATGTTTCCTCATAAATTTCCATTTGATTTCATTACAGAACCGTGCTAGGAAATTTATATTGTGTTTAAGTAACACTGCAGTTTAGGGGCCCCTACGGTACACTGTATATTGGAAATAGAGTGGATGGTACTTGGGAAACCTGAGCTCTAGTCTTCACCTGTAACTAACCCACTACTTCTTTGTACATCCGTTTTCCTTTCATAATACTTGGGAAACCTAAGCTCTAGTCTTCACCTGTAACTAACCCACTACTTCTTTGTACATCCGTTTTCCTTTCATAAAATGAAGGATTTTGACTACATTGTCTCCACGGGACCAAAAATGTTTGAGATGTTTTCCAATCATTTATGGTGTACAGTCCAAAGAGTTTATCATACTTTTCCAGATGAGGAACTAGAGACATACAGAAATTAAATTACTTGCCTAGGGTCAGAATTCAACCCAATACATTTTCTTTCTGCTTTAGAGAGGGAATACCTAGAGGAGGAGAAAAAAGATAATGTTTGAAGTTGCTAGAGGCTGTTTTGATTACTGGATACCCTTAAAAGGGCATTTAAGACATCTGATTTCCTAAAGAGATGTTTCTGTTGAAGTTACTTTTAGCTGAAGGGGTAGAAATTCTTTCGAAGATAGCTTTTACCTAAAAGCTGCTAGAAAGTGTTTTTTGAGAATTATCTTTAAGACTTTTACAATAATAACAACTTGGTTTGTAATCAGCTTTTAATATGGAATAATGCAATGTCCTATATTTCATTCATCCAGTGCTGACTTTCTAGGTGTAAGCTGCAGAAAAAAATAACCATATGTCAAGTTAATATCCTACTGGAGTGATTCCGCCATTTAACTGTCTTACTCTCTCTCACCCTTGAGTTATCGATAAGACAACTCTGTAATTAAGTCATGCTTTGTTTTATTTTGGCTCTGGGCCTGGCCTCATGAGAGCTATTGTTACCGAATCCCCAAAGGTCCGTTTGCTTGCCACTCAGTAGCCAATAATTGAGAGACAAGTGTTGGCGTAAAGAAAGGTAGACTTTAATCAGGAAGCCAGCAGCCTGGGGAAATTGTGGACTCATGTCTCAAAGACCATCTCCACTTTTCCAAGACTTGCCAAAGGGTTTTATAGAGACAGGTGGTGGCGGGCTGAGTCATGGTGACCTAAGCAGGGATGTGCAAGCATAATCAAAAAATTGCAGATAAACATCAAAAAACTTCCCGGGTGGGAGCTGATTCATGGTAACCATCTTCCATGAAGTCAAGTCATGGATTCAGTTCCTGTTAACCTCAAAAAGATCTAGTTAGTAGCTAGTAAAGAATGGCCATCTGGGTTAATAATTTCTTCTATAATTATTCTATGCACAGTGCGAGCAGCAGTCATTATGTTCTAGCAATCGTGTGAACAAGAGTCATTGTATCCTAATGTCCAGCTGCAATCTGTGTGGTTTGGGTTACATGAGTAAGAAAAAAACTTTTAAATCTAGAGTTTAACAAAATGGAGTCACTTCTGTTTAGGCTGTTACAGTATGACTGCATTAATAGGAAGCCAAAGAAATCTAGGAAGAAAGAATAGACAAGAGCCACTTTTCTACTCTGAAGTCTTCAACCAGAAACTGTATTTCCTTTTTTTTTTTCTCTTTTTGTCTTTTATCGTGACCGGCAACGGATCGCAACCCTCAGTGTCGCGCCCGAACCGGACCAGGACCGGCAACGGGATCGCAACCCTCGGTGTTGCTCCCGCACTTCGCTCAGCCAGTGAGCGGCTGGTCTGTATGTGGGATCCGAACCCTCGGTGGGAGCGCTGCCGCGCTTCCCAAGCGACGCACTGTAGCAGTGCGCCACCGGGCCGGCCCCTGAAACTGTATTTCTTTACAACCGGACATTTAACATATCGCACAGAATCTGAGATCTTTATCTACAAAAAAAGTCTCATTTTCTGATATGGTTTAAATCAGAGATTATATAGTCTGTACATACACATACACACACATTTACACTTACACAGGATAGAGAGATGTGTATATTTATATAGGCATATGTTCAATTATTCACCTCAACAGAGGAACTCTCCACTCTGCCATCTGGTGCTCAGGAGATGAGATGCTATAAAATAGCCAGTCTGGGCTAAAGACCAGTCATTGAGAGTCTGCGGTAGATGGTCAGATCCTTCTCTATGACTTCAGCCATTGTGCCAAACATCACTTTCAACATTTTTTCCATGTAGGCAATATCTACTCATGTAAATTGAGAGCCACTTTTTGCTTCCGTTCAAGTACTGTACACTAGTGAGCCATTCTTTACATGGGCCATGTTCAGCAATTAATACAATATTCCATGTTTCAGAGTATCCCACCCCCCACAGATTGTTCTGCCCATTCACAACTGGGAACCAGAAGAGGAGCCCCGCAAAGAAGAGGAAGTTGGACCATTGGTGGAACACATTTATGAGGTAGTCGCTGTCTATGTTGAAGTTGTGTTAAGGGTTTATTCTTGTGCTCTGTACTGATAAACCTTAAATAACATTTTAAAAGACACCAGTCCAAGGTCTGAGCTTTATAAACTGCCTAGATTCCTGCTGTTGTGCTATCGTGTCACAACAGGTGGGTGATGGAGTGTCCTATTACAGAACCATAGAAATGATCACATGTTATCCAGTGGTGAGAACCATTACATGGTGAGAAACGTTTTATCTTGTTACTGTTGCTGTTTTCAGTGTTCTTTATTTCCTTTCTCTTTTTTTTTTTTTTTTTTTGTCTTTTTTCGTGTCCGGCAACAGATCGCAACCCTCAGTG